CAGAGAAGTGGGGTATGTCCCTGTGACTAAAGCAAAGGCCTAGCAGTTAGCTGAAATGATGAAATTAGAAAAGGTAAACTAGAGACAGATTGTGGGAGGCTCAGACAGTTTGTGGAAGGCCTGACCCAGTGGGATGGATTTTATTTCACTGTTGGAGCATTGAGAGTTATTTTTAAAGAAGGAGGTAAAATGACTTGGCCTTCAGAAAAATAACACAAGTCCAATGCAGTCACCATGATGAGGTAATGGGAAACACTCAGGTTTTCTTTTCTTTCTTTCTTTCTTTTTTTTTTTTCAGTACCAGAGATTGAACCCAGGGCCTCACACATGCTAGGCAAGCACCCTACCACTGAGCTACACCCCAAGCCTTTAGGTTTTCTTTAAGTTTTTCAAGTCACTTTAATGTGTTTGCTGTTACTGAATATAATTTCCCACATGTGTTCTCACTTATTGTTACTGCAAGCACATGTCAAATATAAATAAAGAAAGAAAAAATAAAAAAGTCAGGTAAAAAGAAATGGAATATCCAACAGTTGTGATAGTTCTGGTCTCAATAGAAATGAGACTAAAATTACTAACACTCTTCTAGGAGGAGAACAGAACAAGCAGCAGCAGGAGGAGGAGCAAGAACAAAAAAACCTGTGAGGGTGGCAGTGACGAGACTTGAGCTGGGGACCACATTTTGTGGCTGTAGAAGTCACTGTCCTCCATAAGATAGCATAAGGTAGTTGGATGTCATCTTTCCTGACAGAGTCACGGGAGAAGATAGTCCTTTTCTCAAGCAGACGCACTGTCAGGACAAATCAACTGCCATCTTCTAGGGGTCTCCCTTTACCAACTTTCAATGAGTTGAAAGTTGGCTCACTAAGGCCCCCACTGGCACACAACATGCAATGCTCTGTGACCCCTCGAGGAAGGCTGCGGATATGACATCTCATAGACTCAGGTTTGGCCCCGCTATGCTACCATCAGCTGTGTCTCCCCAACTCTTTGGTCCCCCCTCCCTCCTGGGTCAAACAGCAGGTTCCTAATACTTCTAAATGGTGATGATACTGTAATGCTTATGGAATGATGGACATCAAGCTTTTGGGAAGGAGTGGAAGGGGGTTCTGCTTTTAGACACAGGTATTAAAACTGCTTCCTGTTGCTCTGCTAACCAAAGCAAGTAATTTCTCATTAGTCACTTCTCAGGGAGAATCAGTGGTGTTTGCTAAAGTGTCAAAACCTCACTAACAAACACATTTACCATGGCTGAGGGAGAGCTTTATCCATGCTCTTTTCAACATAAAAAATTTAATAAACTAATACATAAAACTTTTTAAAATAAGGAGATGCTGTGGTAGTGCCTGTAGTCTGAATCATATATCTGTTTGGGGGGAAAGAATGAAAACAAGGAAGAAGGAAATGCAGACATATAGTCATTTTCCTCTTCCCTCCAGGATAGAAATCTGGCCTCCATTTTTGAGCCAAGTACTTAAGATTGGCCTAATTTGGAGTCTAGCCAAGCAAATTCATAATAGGACAACAACAGTGAGAGAAAGGCAATCTCCTGGAAGGGTTAGGAGGCTAAAAGTAAGCTCCTGGTGTCCTTTCAAAAGAACTAAACTGTTCTAATGTCATAAAGATGTTGTTTTCTGAAGGATGTGTGTCAATGTATTTCCTATTAGACACAAAGTGATACAAGATTTCTTGAGGATTTCTTTTTTTAAGTTTTAATTTTCTCTTGGTTGGGCAATTTGATTTTACTCTTACCTGTTAATAATAGAGTTTTCATGTTTCCAAACATACTTAAGACAATCTAATAGGTCCCTCTTCTTCAGATCATCTCTTAATAGATAAAAAATGCTACCTACTGGTAATCATCTCTAGCCTGCTGGGAAAGTTGCAGGCTGACCTGATGGTATAATTTCACCTTTGCCCTCACAGTTCAACAGGTCGAGGAAGCCGAGGCTGGTCTGAGAGCAGTGCAGCCGTCAGCAAGGATTAAAAGGGGTGACTCATTCTGGCTTCACACCTCCCCCATTGCCATTTCCCTGGCAGCTGAGCATTTTCAGAAAATGGTGCCTTGGAGAGGAAATGTAGGAGAGGGAAGAGGGGAAAGATTAGTCCCACGTGTTCTATGTCACTCCATCTCTGACACTGCATAGATAATGTTCTTTTCCCTTCCTGTGACATCACTACTTTTTGTCACAAAGGCTATTTCAATTAAATGATTCAGGGGGTTCTCCAGAAAAAAAAAATCTCTCAAACAATAGTTTAGGATATAAATTAATGCTAGAAGATTAGAACAGTGCTCAGGAACAAGAACACCGTGTATCTGACAGGAGTCTGATGAATAAAGGACATAAGAGCAAACAAATAAGAGATACCTGGTGCCCTGAGTAAAATATATGAATGGTGAGTTAGTACTACTGTTTTTCTTTTCTTTTTTTAGATTCTCAGATTAAATAATATCTTCCTAAATTTTTCTTTTCAAACTTTAAAGGCTGAAAGTATAGTTCTGGGATAGAGCATTTACCTAGCATGCTTGAGGCCCTGGGGTCAATCCCCAACACCGTGAAAAACACAACAACAACAACAAAATTCCAACAAAACACCTTCAAACATGAGATATGGTTCATGACATGAACCCCCATCTATATAGGAAAGAAATTACCTGAGGTCATACACAGGCCCTATAATACAAAGCGGTATTCCTAAATGTTGTCTTAGATTTCTTCTCTAAGTCATGCCACAGACTTGTAGATGAGAGAGGCCTTCATGATCATTTCATTACCTATTCGGTCTTTCCATTTCACAGTTGAGTGAACAGCAAGGTTATATGATTTGTCTAAACATACACAGTTAAGAAATTATAGGTCTAGAATGGAGCCTGGGTCTTCTGACTTCTAATCTGGCTTTTCTGATTGAGCTGTATCAGAATTTACCAACCAACCAACAATGTCCCCGGTTATTCTGGGACCTGAAGCCCTGAACTTGTCACCTAAGCTGAAATCAACAGCTCACTTTACTCAGTTTCTGATTCTAGCACTGAGTAGAAATCAGCACCTTCAGAGTCAGCAGCATCTCCTGTGAGACTGGAGGTGAAGGAGCAAAAATGCTACCTGTCAAATGGTGAGAAACAAATGGGATGGATCCCTGAGATGACGAGCAGAAACCTGTGGACCCCACACAGGAAACAAGCTGTGTTTTTTAACCCATGAAAATACCAAAGCAGGCTGAAGCTGTTGTTCAGTGGCAGAGCGCTCACCTGGCATGTGTGAGGCACTGGGTTCGATACTTAGCACCACATAAAAATAAATAAAGGCCTGCTGTCCACCTACAACTAATAAAAAAAATTTTAAAAAAGAAAATACCAAAAGCAACTTTTATTTTAGTAAATAGGGCTTTAGCTCAACTATACATTTAGGGCAGCTATGAGAACTAGGTGTCCTCTCTCAAATTTTAGTTCTCTTGGATCAACAGGCATTGGCTAAAACTGGATTAAAATTAAGATGATTTACATGGGGTTTCCTTGCTTACTTCTCCCCCAAGTCCCTCTCCATACCAGCTTCAGCCATTACTGGAGTTAAAAACTTTCCCCAAATTAAAATACACTCATGCCGTAGAAGAACAATTCAAGCTTTCTTTTATATGGCAGTTGGAAATTCCTCACATAAGGTCAAAAGACAAACAGGCAATGATTTAAGACAATGACTTGAACTCACAACTGAATTTCCTCTGACATTTCTCACCAAGGGGAGAGAAAGCAGTAAGGAGGAGGGAGTCTCCCTAAACTGGAATACACCAAATTTTTTAAAAAAATATGTTTTGGTTGTCAGTAGACATTTATTTTTATTTATTTTTGTGCAATGCTGAGAATCAAATCCAGTTCCTCACATACGCTAGGCAAGCACTCTACCACTGAGCCACAACCCAGCCCTGGAATATACCAACTTTAATATGGCAATTTATTCTCAAAGTGATTAAAATTGTACAAAACCTTTTAATTAATAAAAATAAAATAAGCAGCCACACCAAGTCAGGTAATTTTGAAATATATGGGTTCTTTCAGTATACTCTACAATTCACATAAAATGCTTGTAAAAATCTAGTCAGATTGAAAAACCAGGCAGGCACTTGTCTCCATAAAAGTTACTGAAAAGAATAAACGTGAAAGGACTGAAGTAGGAAATCAACAGCAGCAAGCAGCTTTGGAGAAGATATTGTCAGGTTTCTAAAATATTTTTGTGTTGAAGAAGGTCTATTTTCGTGTGATAACTATTTTTGTTCAATATCACCAACTTTCAATTTGTAACAAAACTGATATATTCAATTCAGCCATCTACTTCCCAACTACATATCTATTTTAAATATCATATATACAGGAACATCTGGAAGAGTCCAGCAAAATATCCCTGCCATTTGGAAGTTCTAACACTTTAATGAACATAAATATTTCTCAGTTGTTTCATTCTGTTGTAGTTTTTGACAATGTGAAAATCAATGGCATAAAAATTAATTTCAGTAAGACAAGTGATTAAATCAAGCCATGTTATTTAAATCTATGTTGCCCAGTCACTTTCCCTTAAAATTCAAGAAAATATGACAATATGTTTCAGAGAATGAACAAAGTTTGAGCATGCAAGCAGAACCAACTTATAACATATAATTACAAAAATGCTATCTTGAACATCTTGCTGGTGTAAGTTGCATAAACTCATGCAACATATGTCATTCAGAGTGAAGAGGAAGGAACAGCATTTTAAACACCACCTCCATTTAGGAAACTGGATACCAAATGCTCCCATTTTCTGTTGATAAGATTCTTCAGTTAATATTTTTTATTCTATTTTCTAGAGCCATCCAAATGAATCACACCAAATAAAAGTGTACAATGGAAAATAAGTACCTTGTTTTAACAGAGGTTAAATTAGAAGTGCTTGTGTTAGTAAGCATCTATATGTTATCTCATTCAAACTATCTGCTAACAGCAGCAGGAAAAAGATCTGTATTCTTACCAATGAATTTCTGAGGCATTGAGCTTTTTCGTTTTGCCACATTGCTTGCTAATCTGTCCAGAACGAGAGCTCTTTCACTTCCCATCTCTGCTTTGATGTGTCTTGCCTCCGCACTTGCTGGTTTGGAGAAAAATAAGAGGGAAAAGAACACGCTGGTAAATGGGGAGAAAACAAAATCAGCTGGTGTCTATGATCTGTTGTCGTTACCTGTTATTACTGCTCAGATTTCTGCCGGGGGTACTTGGCGTGGTCAGTGAGGCCGCCACCAGGGCACATTCAAATTTTGCAGTCTTATGCTGAGATGGGAAAGCCCTACCCATCCCCAACCAGTACCTTCATTAGCAAGAGGAAGTATTGAAGAAACAGCCTGGACGTGGTTGGTTACAAAAAGATAGATGGAGATCTTCTAACCCCCATCAGTCTTCTTTCTGATTCTGAGTAACTGCGTGTGACACCTGCACACTGATATAATTCTTCTTAACAACTTTGAAAAAAAAATGGTGCCCCAGATTTACTGCTCTGTTTATGTTAACAGCACTTTTGAAAATAGACACACTCACCCAAATAGCAAGAAACCTACTCAGTGATTTGTGTATTGAAATTCTGAGTGTTTTTTTTTTCTTCTTTTTTTTCTCAGCATTCTCCTCTCAGTTTCTTTCAAATTCTATTTCTCTGGGCTCTGCATGATCTATTTCATATGCTCTTCCCATTTCAAAACTGTCTCAAGTTAAAATTTCCCTGAGCCCCACTGCTTTAGTGAAATTCAAGAAAATTTTCTATAATGAATTTCTACTATATTTCTAATGAAAAAATGTAAATAAAAACTGCTAAGAATGTGGGATAATTGCCCATCCATAAATAAACATTTGAATGATATAGGCCTGCATTTCCAGCTCTGGCTGCACAGCATGATCACCTGAAGCACGGGTAAGAAATATCTATGTCGACCCCTCCCCAGATTAACACGATCAGGTGCTCTGGAAGAGAGGTCTAGGTAACAGCATTTTCAAAGCTTCCCAGATGACTTTAAAATGCATCCAGAATTACATACCACCAGAAGAGTATATAAGTAGTACCTATATCTAATTTACTAAAACTAAATTTGGAATAAATATAATTTACCTTGGTACAGCAGGATTACCCAAGAAGACCTCATGTGTAAGGTTCAGAGATACTAGCATCTTTAAATATAAAGCTTAAAACTTTTGCACATGAGTCTAGCCTGAGCCAAAGAGTAGCAAACTATTGCAATTAAAAGCTAGATAGTAGATATTTTAAAAATTGTCTTTGTCGGGTGGGGCTGGAGTTGTGGCTCAGTGGTAGAGCACTTCCCTGGAATGTGTGAGGCCCTTAGTTCAATCCTCAGCACTGTATATAAATAAATAGAATAAAAAAATCCATTTACAACTAAAAATTATTTTTTTAAAAATTATCTCTGCCCTATATTCTTGGGTGAGTCTCTGCCTTATGTCCCTTTAAACATGAAAAATCCCTGTATGAAAACAGGTTTCTGGCTGCATTTGGCCAGAAGGCCACAGCTTACCCACCTCTGCCACACACTGAAGTATTGTGATAGTGTAAGCATTTCTCTCTGTTTTACCTAAGCATTTCAGGAAATCCAAACTAAAAAGAAGTATTCATACATCTCTAATGTGTCTAAAGAAGAAGATATTAAAATTAGTTTAAGGGACTAGAGTGAAAAGCAAGTGATGACTGCAGAATGGAATCTCCTACCCAACGCTGTGCCTAAATAGAGAGATTCGGGAACCATCAGGGCCTGTTCTGTAGTTGAAGAGTACAGTGTGTTTGCAGTGTGAAGAGATTTTCAGTTGTAGATGGACACAATACCTTTATTTTATTTGTTTTTGTTTTTTAATTTTTAATGTGTGCCAGGGAAGAGATTTTGATACACAGAAATAATGTCACAAATTCCATGATCTATCAGACATTCAGGACCACAAATGGACATATCCAGAGAGAAAACTGGCTCCCTTTACAGTCAGTGAATTACAGGGAAAGATCTTCAGGGCAAGACTGTCAAGCATGGCTACAGTAAGAACCTAAACAGAATTAGAAAAAGAATTATTGTTCATTTTATTATTGGCATTAAAAATAAACTCTAGGAGCTGGGGTTGTGGCTCAGTGGTGGAGGGCTCACCTAGCAAGTGTGAGGCGCTAGTTCACTCCTCAGTACCATGTTAAAAAAAATAAATTAAATAAAATAGAGGTATTGTGTCCAGCTACAACTAAAAAAAAATTTAAAAAATTAACTCCATGCCAGTCATTACACAAGACATTATAAAGCTCAGTGCTTTGTTTTGTTTTGTTTTTAAATTCAGGAATAAGAGGAAATCTGACTCAAAAAAGAATAAAGGAAGAGACTGGTGGCAATGACAATATTTAACTGGGCTATGTGAGTTTCTTATCAAAAATAGGTCCAGGCTCTAAAGAAATAAATCTCCAGTCTATGCTATTAACAACTGTGTATGTAAATGAAACAATAAGGGTCAGAATAAGGGGCCTGGGCAGCTAGCTTCTGGACTAGTGGCAGAGTAGTTGGACTTTAGCATTTGGGCACAGGACACTGCTATTGAGTGAAGTGGATCGATTCTGTCCGGCCTGGGGATAAGTTTAAATGACCAAACAGGAAACTATTATATATACTATTTCCTTTCACACAAACCACCACCAGATGTGGCAGTACCCAAAGCCCCAAAAGCAGAAAGATGAAAGCCAAAGCCTGGAATTTGAAGTAAGTCCCTGCTGTTGTCACAAAGAGATGTCTCCTTAGAAGCAGAGGAGAAGCTCCTCAGTTTGTGCTTTGATTAGGAACCTTCGTTCTGGTTTGAGCAATTCTAAGAGGATTAAATCCAAGTAAAACTGCTTGCTACCCTGTATTTGTTATAAAAAATGAAATGAGAATGAAGATCAGTACTTTGGGAATGTTTACCCATCACTCCCACTGTACCACTGTTCTTATAGGCCCCTGGCCAGATCACTGCCTAGGACTTACCCCAAGCATTATTCTGCCTGCCTCATCTCCCCATTTGCCTTTCAGCAGTCACTGCCTACATTTTACCAGAGTCACTATCAATGATTACAAGAAACTTTCTGAGGACACGTAATCAACATCCTTTACATTGGGGAGGGTGCTGAAATGTGGACACATTGACCTAAATAACTGTAATTAGGGCATGTCACTAAATGGCAACCTTTTGAGATAACATCACCTTATATTCCTGGTTACCCACCAAGCTGCTCTTAACAGTCATTTCCAGATAAATCTTACTCTGTAAATTGTGACCAAATGCCTGACATTTAAGAAAATTAAATTCCAGAGTGTTCATGGGTGGATAGATAATTTAAGGCATGGTTAGAGTCTTCTCCATTTCCACAACTCTGAAAGAAATCCTCTGAAACTAATCTAGGACCCCCCATCCCATTCACTTGCATCCTCTCTCTGAATTGCTCACTTAATACAGCACCTCTAAGATCCCAACCCTCAATGTACACTGGAATACACACTGGGGATCCAGTACCCTCACAAAGTTAGCTATTTTCTAACTGGCAATTAGGCAACAGCTCATTTTCAACTGAATATGGTGTGCTATCATTTTTTTCCCTAAGTGTCAAGTCTTTTGCCTTGAAATTGTCGGACAGCTGATTCACAGAACCACCACATGAGCACCCTTTAAGAATACAAAGAAATACTTTGGAGCTGGACCATCTCTTTGGGATTGCATAGGGCAGTACAGTGCACTGAAAATACAAACAAAAGAGGGCTATTGGCTTTTGGTCCTCTGCTCCAACTTCAGGACTCAACTATTTATAGAGTCTAGACCTGCTATCTCACTATATCACCTCTTAGAAATGTAAGTGAAGGGAAATCAGTTTGGCAAGAAAGTAAGGGAACAAGATAATGGGTTTAAATGACGAAATAGGAAATCCGTTCCTGGGTGGTGTTTGGTGGTTTAATGTTGCAAGTGGTGGGTGTGGGGAATATGGGATGATAGCAAGGAACAGTTTGCACACTTGGTTCTCAAATGTGCATAGAAGGAGTAGAAGAGCAACTCTGGATCAATTAATTTCCCTTTATCTCACTTGCCTACTATATAGTGGATATAATAATTTTCATTTGCAAAGCGATTTTGAAAAACAAATAGTAAAATGTGACATAAAAATCACCACCTTTATTCACTGCATAAGCTTTTATAGTTTGATTGTTAGTTAACTGTTTCCATGATGCAATTTCTATATCAAAGTGATTAGAGATTTAACTATATAACGGTGCTGTGCTTTTGTTTTTGTTCAAAATCAGTAATTAGGTCTTTAAGTGTTAAATGGAGCTTAAATAAGAGGCATTGCTTCCTGTCTCTTCTATGGTGTGGTCAGTCTCATAAAGAGTGGAACAAAGGGGTGCTATTGTGCAATAAGAATTGTCTAACAAGAGATTACTATCAAAGGCTGAGGCAGGTTCTGACAAAAAATGTTACATAAAACTGTTGCCTTTCTGAGTAAGGAAAATGAATACAACTCATGAGATATCAATTGGAAAATAGGCAAGTTTTTAAGAACTTTGTTCTTTGTTCTGCTATAGTGGTAAAAACACAAATTTATTCTGAAATCCTCATGTTTGCACCAGCTCTTTTGGAACAAGGAAAGTCTGACTTATGGATTTATCCATAAATGTAATTATTTGATTATTTTAAAAATCTTAAAAGTAATCTGGAACTCATTGTTACACAAAAATATGTATGAGTCCAAGTATTCAATTTGTGTGGAATGAGATTCATTTGAATCTCCATACCAATTATTGGTCCCTTGAATTAGAGATCGAGCTAATAAGAAAATCAAGTCTAGGGCTGGGGATGTGGCTCAAGCGGTAGTGTGCTCGCCTGGCATGCGCGAGGCACTGGGTTTGATCCTCAGCACCACATAAAACTAAAATAAAGATGTTGTATCCACCGAAAATTTAAAAATAAATATTAAAAAATGCTCTCTCTCTCTCTCCTAAAAAAAAAAAAATCAAAGCAAGTCTATGGTCTTCCAGATTTTTTTTTTTTCTTCTGGCCATATATACTCTATTAAGACAACAGAACTGGACTATTTTGATGGCGTCACTTTGATGTCCAGTATAGAAACTTGGGCTGAAGTAGCAATAACTTAGGTATCTCTATCAGGCCTCTGCATTGTATCAAGAGATCAATTTATTATTGGGTTGTGAATTCTTCCAGAGTAAGGGCTCAGCTTTTACTCAATCTTACAAAAAATTCCGACACTAAACTCAACAAATGTTGTCTGGATAAAATAAAATGATTAGTAAGGCCAGTTCTGTTGCCCAATACCTACATAGTCTTTTGGAGCTTGGTCAAGCTTTTTCATCCATCTGCTTCCACAAAAGCCTGCTTCCTTGTGGAGGCAGCTTTGTCCCTGGGCTTAGCTCTCCTACTATGCTGCACTTCAATATTTATTTATTTACTTATTTATTTGTAGTACTGGCCATGGGACCCAGGGCCTCACACATGTTAGACGAGTGCATTCCCACTGAGCTTCGCCTTCAGCTTTTTTTTTTTTCAAGACAAAAATCATGCTAAAAGCTAGGCTGACCTTGAACTTGTGATTCTCCTGCATCAGCCTCTCAAGTGGCTGATATGACAGGTGTGCACCACTGTACTTGGCCACTGCACTTCAATTTAAATAAGCACTTGATGTGTGAGTGTTGTATCCATAGTAGCCATGAAACATCATCACTTTAGAGGTAAGGAATGAAGGCATAAGATGTACAGCATTAGTCAGGCTCAGAATGGAATATTCTGTCTATACCATGATCCCAATTTTAAGACAGAAACAGAAATGGAAGCCATATAGGAAGTACTATCAACAATTAAAGGATTGCTTGTGCTGGATGAAACATCTTTATTATTTTCAATCTCAGATTTAAATATCAGGAGATATTTAAAACATAAAAGATAGAGTAATACTTTATTGATATTCAGTATTTATATTTAAGCTGTGACTTTATACATTTTGTCACCTGAAACCACCTTTATACATATTTGTTTAAAAAAGCTAAAACTTGCTGACTTGGTTAACCCTTTATTTTTTTGCTGAGACTTAAAAGTATGTTGCACGCATCCATCAAACCACTCTATGAAATGCAAATTAATCTCTGCATTTCAGCATTTCCTGAATCACCAAATACCACTGAAGATAGTTAAATATTTCTTCTGAGACTTTTCCTTATTTCAAATTTCTAGTTGTGAGGATGGAAAATAATATAGTAGCTTACCACAAAATCAATAATTTTGTAGTTATTGTACGTAGAACATAATTTACTGATTTCCCCCCCTACTTCCAAGAGAATCAAGACATACACATATACATATGTGTGTCTATTAGGTGTTACTGTGTTTCTTTGGCTAACCAGATAATATTTAACCTTTTAAAAATAGAGAAAATCAGGGGATGGGTTGTGGCTCAGTGGTAGAGTGCTCACCTAGCACGTGTGAGGCCCTGGGTTCGATCCTCAGCACCACATATAAAATAAATAAGTAAAATAAAGGTATTGTGTCAACTACAACTTAAAAATAGAGAAAATAAAACCAAAAAGTGGAACTCCCCACCAAATGTCCATTAAGTAATGAATGTATAAACAGAATGTGGGCAAATCCATGTAATGGAATAATATTGAATTATAAAAAAAGGAATGAAGCACTAGTACATACCTCAACATGGATGAACCTCAAAAATGTCACACTAAGTGGAAGAAACCAGACATAAAGGGGCACATATTTATATGAAATATTCAGAATAAGCAAATTTATAGAGGCAGAAAGTAGATTAGTGTTGCCAGAGGGGGTGGGAAGTGACGGCTGGTGGTTACAGGGTTTCTTTTGGGGATGATGAAAGATTCTGGAATTGGGGTGACAGTTATACACCTTTGTAAATATACTGAAATCTATGAAATTGTTTGATTTAAAAAGCTGAATTTTATAGTATGTGAATTGTATCCCAAATTAAAAAAATAAACATAGCCAATCACAAAAGCAACTGAGGCTCTAGGGATTTTTAGGTTATTCACTGAACTTTGACAAGTCTCCATTTCTAAAATGAGGATTAGATGTTCTCTTTTGTCCTTCTAACTTTAGATACTATAGATTCAATTTGGATTTTTTTAACTTGGGAATTTCTCATAGTAAGTGATTTGCCCATTGTCTGAAATATAGAAGTGCAAGTAATGATGGCCTACATCTGTCCTTGGGCAAATACTGCCTAACATTAAGTATGTTGCTTAATCTAAGTTTTAGGGCTTTTTTTTTTTTTTTTTTAAGGAGTAAACATTTCTCTTCAGAAATAAGGAGGAAATCCAACTCCTTGATAAAACCAAAGATGCCATCAGGATAAAAAGCAGAAGCAGTACACACCAACGGAATTCAGTTGGCCAGCTCCCTGTACCATAAAATAGGCTTTATCTAAAACAAGAGTTTCCTCTCACTGTACAAGGGCAGTTTAAAAACTCATGGTTTCTACTCCATTATTCCTGAGTTTCACATTTATTTCTGTCATATTTTTGTAATCTTTCTGCTTTAGATTGTTCAAATTATTCAACTGCAGCTACTTCTGTCAAACACCAAATCCCATGAGGGGATCTGTACCTTTGTTCCCATAATCCAATAAAACATCTTTACCCCAAGTCGGAGACCAGGTTGATAGTTAACTAGATAGGACAAGGACAACTTCAGAGATGCCATACAAAAAAATTTCAGCTGTTTCAACCAAAGAATAAAAAAGGAAATGCAGCCATAATTGACATGTAGAAAGACATCTAGTGTTCACCAGGAGACATCTAATTCAAATCACTGAATAAAATAGGAAATCCCCAAATCCAAATATAAACATCACAATAAATCATATGAGCAGGCAAAAATGTGACTTATGGGCCCTATGCAAAGAAAATCCTTGTGGTTTTAACCAACTCTTCCCTAGCCACTCCCCAATTGCCATTTCAGTTAGTTGAAAACTCCATTCTTCATCAACCTGTTAGGAAATCCTGTTAGCTCTGCCTTTTATACACACACACACACACACACACACACACACACACACACACACACACATCTCATCAATTTTTCCACGACCAAGACACAATTTTCTTTGGTTTGAATTCTTGCAATGGTACTCTCCAATTTTTAATCTTGCCCCAAATACAATCTATTCTCAATGATGAGTTACAGTGATTCTTTTCAAATGAGATGTCTAATGATGTCAACTCCCTGGATTTACTTTCTAGAGATTTCACTGAGAGTAAAAGCCAAAATGAGGTCTGATAGGATCTGGTTTCCCATTTCCTCTCTGGCTTCATGTTCCATTACTCATTCTGTTCCAGTCATATAGGACTGTTTACACTTTAAATTTGAGCCCCAGGGCCCTTGCACTTGCTATTCCCTAGTTATCTACAGGGCTCACTCCTCATGCCCTTAAGCCTATTAAAATGTTTTTTTGTTGAAGTCTTCCCTGACTCACGCTCCCTGATCATTACTTCATTTTTCTCAATAGCACTTATTACCTTCCAACCTTCTAATTTATAGTTTGCGTACTTTATTCATAATCTGTCTATTCTCATCCAAAGACAAACTCCATGAGGGCAGGGTGTTTGGGGAATTTTATTTACTATCACATCTCACCACCTAAAAGGGCAGATACTCACAAAATGTGTGCAGCATGAGCATTGTGGAACTCACCAGTGTCGCCCAGGTCAGAGCTCTGAAGAAATGTACGGCAGCGCTCCTTGTGCTCCTCAAGGGAACTTCTCTGCTTGTAACTCCTACCGCAAAACTCACATTTGTAGGGTTTCTCCACTGAAAGGAGAGCACAAGGGCAATCAGCGACCTTCAGGAGTCTCCGCAGCTCCCTAAAGATGGCAGACTACAAGAGCTTCACCAGAAAATGAGAGTGCTAATTGGAGCCAGTGTACTGGGGTGCTCTTGAATCTATATTAGTTTTACATTCAGCAAGCTGTAATAGGTTATGGACTATGGTTGATTCTTTTTTTTTTTTTAAATATTTATTTATTTAGTTTTAGGTGGACACAATATCTTTATGTGGTGCTGAGGATTGAACCCAGTGCTTCACCCGTGCTAGGCGAGTGCACTACCACTTGAGCCACAACCCCAGCCCCTATGGTTGATTCTTATGTCAAAGTTCTCTTCAAAAAGATCCTCTCCTGTCTCAGAAAAAAGGATTTGGATTTAATAATCACCATTGAGCATAGTGTTTGGCTCCAGGTTAAATCTCATTCTTCTTGTTTGACAAAAATAGGGCCCTTTTATTCCTCAAAAAAGTTAGTGTGGTGTAAGAAGGAAATGGGAAGGGATCCCTTATTTTGTGATGTCCATTTGGCTCTAAGTATAGACTGTGATAGCTTTTGGGAGTTAGCCATTCGGCTAGAAACTCTAGAACATCAACATGTTTGGATAAATTTATCTCACTCTTGTCAAGTGGCACAGCAAAGTCTGGGTTAACCAATACAAACTGAACTAATTAACTAAGGATAATTTTAATTAATAGAATTAAGATTTATTGTAACAATGACCTCATTTAAAATTTTAAGATAAAGCAGAAGTTTCCTCAAAAGTTCACCTACCATCTAATTTAGGTAAATTTATCCTTCCAACTCCCCCCAAATACTTTATTGCCTGACGTATATAAGTAATAAACTCTCTGCGCAAGCCTGGCTTTTCTGACTTGTTGATAAAATGTACCTGAAGAATTTTTCAGTTTTAGGGACTGAAATTTTAATTTTCTTTCCATTTGTGGTGTTGGGGCTTGAACTCAGGAATTCATGTATGCTAGGTAAGTGCTCTACCTCTGACTTACACCCCAGCCCTAAAATTTATATTTATATTTTTATTTTTTAAATATTTATTTTTTTAGTTATAGGTGGACACAACATCTTTATTTTATTTTTATGTGGTGCTGAGGATCAGACCCAGTGCCTCACGCATGCTAGGTGAGTGCTCTACCTTTGAGCCACACCGCCAGCCCCCTAAAATTTTTATTTTTTAACTCTTCTTCCTCTGCTTAAAGCAGAGGCATTAGAATTTAAAGTGCTATAAGATTTTTATGAAATCCCAGACTAAAATAAAATGCAGGTTTGCTAAAGCTAAAAAGTTAAGCTCTAAAATCTGTCTTATAAATGCCTATTATTATTATTTCTTTTATGTAAAAGGCAACAGAAAAGAACTTTTCTAAATTTTGAATGAACCTCACCCTTAGTGCACTACTTTGAAAAATAAGCTGTAAAAGAAAGAAACCTTCCCTGCCACTTATGATCTCTCAGGAGGGGTTTTGTTGGGTTGACTTGTTTAATCCTAGTCTCTCAATTGTGACAAGTTTTGAGGTCGGGGCTGGGTTTTAGTCGAAGCAGTAGATTCAGATTGACATAAAAACAAACCTTTTTTTTTTTTTCAATTAAAATTTTGTCAGATAACATCAAGAACATCAGGTCCCCAAATTTGAAAATAAACCTAGTCTTATTTTTCTAAGAAGGAAATTCTAAAGGTTGAAAAAATGTATTGTTTTGCCTGGTCAAAATAAGGAGTAAAAACATTTAAGAGAGCAGATGAATTTTTTTATGAATTTTTATTGCTGCCCATCTCTTAGAAATTAGAAATAAGTAGGCTGAATGATGGGAAAGTTGGGTGTAAGAAACTTAGCCAAGAATGGCCAAAAAGGATCCCTCAACAATTATTGACACTTGGTTTACAGGTTTTATTTTTTCTTTAAAAAATTTTTAAAATACTTTTAAAACTATACATTCATTTGTCCAGTTTTCTGAAGAGAATGTGTGTATGTTTGTGTATGTGTGTGTGTGTGTGTGTGTGTGTGTGTGTTTATGTGTGAGGAAAATAATCTTTTAATAAAGTTTACCATAAGAAAATACTGATGGTTCTAAATTTCTTATAGAAATTAAGGCATTTTTCCAGGGCAGGCTCTTCCTCTCTGACTGTTGTTCTCCAGGGGTGTAAGGATGTTGAGGAGATCATCTCTACTGAGGCAGACGGAGAGCAATTAATGCCTTAATGGAAGTGCAATTAGCCCTAGAGGTCTGCTGTTGTAACCCTTCAGAACTGGAATGACAGATTAAAGTCTCCACACTTAACTCTTTCTAGCTTCCACAGTTACTAGACATGGAATGTTCATTTCCCTCACTTACCAGAATGGGTCCTAAGATGCCCCGTGAGCGCATCTCTTCTTTGGCATGCGTAGTTGCAGAGGTGACACTTAAAAGGTTTTTCCCCCGTGTGCAGTTTAATGTGGCGGAGGAGGTTACCTTTCTGAGTAAAAGATGCCCCACACTGATTACACTGGAACGGGCGTTCACCTTTAAAGGGGACAAAAAAAAAAAAAATTCTGCTCACCAGGCAAGTGGAAAAGCACATGCACATATTAGATGCCTATGGCAAAAGCTCATCTTCTAGACAGTTCTGTCCACACTGGGATCACTCGGGAGCTGCATTTCCAGACAAACAAGATTACTTATGAAATCTTCCCTCCGGAAGAAATGAAGCACCCATTTAGTATTGTCTTGTCTTGAATCAGAGCAAAGAAACAAGGGTAGCTTGCAGAGTTTTCTAGATGTAAACTTTTATATTACTTAGCATTCCTTTTAATATAATTTCCTTTGAAATAAGACAGACATAAACCCCAATAAGGTGTTGAGGATTGAGAGGCTCTTTTTTTGGAGTATTCATATCAGATGTCAGATGGGATCTATTGGCTCAATGGGACTGTCATTTGCAAGTTTTCCTATAGACTGCCTGTTTACTATCTGAAGATACAGTCTTTATAAAAACTTATAATAAAAACCGTGTCCTGGGCTGGGGTTGTGGCTCAGTGGTAGAATGCTTGCCTAGCACGTGTGGGCCACTGGGTTCAATCCTCAGCACCACATAAAAAATAAATAAATAGGAGCTGGAGTTGTAGCTCAGTGGTTGAGCGCTTGTCTAGCATGCATGAGGCACTGGGTTCGATCCTTAGCATGTAAAAAAGAAATAAAAGTAAAGACATTGTGTCCATCTACAACTAAAAAACTTTTAAATAAAGTTTTTTTAAAAAAGCTATGTCCTTTTATCTACCACATTAAACCCAAAACAGTAAGGAGATCTGCTTTTATGCAAAAATATACAGATATCATCTAAGAAGCAAATCACACAATTCAACTCCTTACTTACTAATGGGAGAAAAAGCATTTGGTTGACCTAGAACACTGTGCTCTCTATAGGCTTCTTTTTTTCTTCTTTTTGTAGCATTTGCAATATGTTTGCCAAATGCACAATGACGCAGGAGGGAGAGATACATCAAAATTACAGCAAAGATCACTGGAAGTAATCCAAAGCCCCAAATCCTACCACTTCATTCCTTGAGTGGCTGTGTTAGGATAGTTTTCAGAATTATGGAAAAAAGAGACTATTTACCAGTATGGCTCCTCTTATGAACCATTAAGACATTGAAGCTAATGCAGGATAATCCACACACATCGCAGTTCATCTTTCCACTGGTTGGCCTGCCACTATCATATGAGACAACATGTCTCTCCAGCTTAATATTTTCATACTCATTATATTCTCTTGCATAGCTGTAAGGAATTTCAGGCTCTTCTGCATTTCCCAAGGGCTCTGGCTTTAAAACATTCTCATCTCTTTCACTGTATTCATCTTTCTCTTTCATCGAATCATCTGCAGGGGAGAAAATGCAAGACATGAACAATGACTGCATTTGAAGCTATGAAAGCAGTTCAGAAAGCAGAGACCCACAACTGACAATTAAATACCAAAAGGAGCTAACATAACATTGTACATCTACAAATGCCATTAAGATGATTACTCATTATTTCAATTCAGAACCACAATCCTTGGGAAACACAAATACTCACACAGATGACAGTGTTTTAGCTATCCAGAAAATTAGAAACAATAAGTTTTTGCCATAACTGCTCTAAGGGACAAAGAAACGAACATTTTGAGCAACCTGTCTCCAATACTAGGGGAGAAGAAAAGCTCTGAGATCTAGTACCTTTTTTGGTGGCTGTAGTTAAAAAGGAATGGTGATGTGCTCTTAGGTTTCAAGGAGAAAATATCATTTTAATCCTTCAGAAAAATCCAATTTATGAGACGTGAGCCACTATGAGAACTAAACAGTTAGCACTGTTTTTTTCTAATTTTGAGCCACACATCCCTTTCCATGCACATGAACTGCTAAAACACATTTTATCTCCTTATCTCTCTTGGGACTGATAAAGACACAAAACTAAGAGTAAAGGAAGCTGTCAGTGCTAGTGAAATAGTGTTGAGAAAGATAAAAGGAGAAGTAATTCTTAAGTACAACCTAAGGAGTCACTTCTATTGACATAAGTATACGAGATCATTCTAAGCAAAGGAAAGGACACCCAGACCCAAGGCAAGAAGGAATAGGCTTAAGAACTGGAGAGGAGAGGAGGGTCTGGCTCCAGTGAGCTGGCTGACCAAGTACCATCTTAAAAAGGGCTGTCACACTCTTAAAGTGAAGAACGTAGGAAACAGAGAAGGGAAATTTATGTGCCAGCACCAACAAAACCTAAATATTTGCCTGACAAGATAACAGGTGTTTTAAAGGGATTTTTCATGTATATGTATGCTATAGAAATACTTTCTGCTTTAAACATTGTTTCTTGGAAATTGGAAGTTGTACTTCCCTGTGAGGAGTCACAAGTCAATGGAATTTAAGGCTAACAGGGAAATTAGAGATCAACTAATCTGACCCTCTTGTTTCTCAGATGAGAACATCTGGGAGCAGAGGTTTCCAGCGATCTGTCTGAGCTCACACAGCCAGGTAGCAGCAGATATGTGACTGAAATGTGAAACTTAATCCATACCTATCAATTACTTGGATATGACCTCACACACTAGACATAAAAGGTCTAAGTGGCATCCTACCAACTATGCCATGCCCTCCCTTCACTGGAGTAGATGTTAAACCCAAACACTCTGAAAAAAAAAAAAAAGATATTTTTAAAAAGCACACTCCTTCCAAAACACATCAGTAAGTGTTGCTCCTGTTGCCACACAGGAGGAAGTACAGCTGCAGCTGGGCCTGGCTTGCTACCTTCTACCCAAGTTTCAATTTTCACTTCTATCAAGGTTACCTTTCATCTATATTAACTGTGTTTGCTTAATAGAGCAAGACAGGGCTTAACCACCACCAGCAGAGCCCTGGCTGCAGCCCTGTTTCACTGCTTACCACAGTCCACGGTTCACAGCTCTCGCTCTTTGGCAGAGGCAGGGCTGCAGGATAAGCTTGCCGTGTTCCACATTTGCCTGTCCTATGATCTGGGTTGCATATGAATTGACACCTATGTCCTGCTTGGAAAGGGGTTCATTTTCTTCTTTCTCTGGATGGGTCTTGCCTGCTTTCAGATGGAGTGTTTCCTTAAGTGGTTTTGTTTAAAAAAAAATTTTTTTTTGAAGAGAAGGATGCACCTGAGACTTGTACCCTCCTTTCTTCCTCCATCACTCCAGCTGTGGGTGATATCCCACCAAAGCTTGACTGCTCTTCAGTTTGCATGTAGGCGTTTAAAAGAACCTCAACGGAAAACTTTAGCTACTGAAAACCATAAACAGCAGAGTGAAAGGGCCAGCAGAGAAGGATCCTTTTCATCTTGGTTAGAAAATGTAAATATGACTACACTCAGGCCACTCCATGGTCAGTGAACATTAAAAAATAGCAAGATCAAGGGGTGGTCTTTCTAAAAACAGAACAGAAGAGAGCTGCTCCTTTTCTCAGGGTTTTGGTCAGCCTGGCCTGGAACTCAATACTACTTCAACTTGGTTCAAGGTCAGACCTTAGATTTATGTCCTTTATGACTTAGCTGTGGAGCAAGAAAGACAGTATTTGAGACTAGGACCTGTCATAGGGAAAGCATAAGAGTCACACGGACAAGGCATTAACTAGGGAAGTCCTTTGGAGTACTGGACCAAAAAAGTTCCTGGTATAGTTGCTCCTTGACCAGTTTTAGATAAATGACCTGCATGACCTCTCTATAGGTGAAGGTAAACAACTGCATGTTAGAACAAATTAGAATCTAAGGTATGAATAGGATTTCTGAGAGATTACTTGGCTTAGCATTCAGACTCCAAATATATCCACTGAAACATCCAGGAAAGACACTAGACTGCTCTAACGAAGAGATTCACTCCATTCCTTGGGAGGAAGACTTGTTGGAGCAAAGGAAAGAAGGAAACTCTACTTAGTTTTCCTAGAAAATGCTGATGAACATGTCTAAAGTCAAACTTGTTATCTTTGACTCCAAACTTCCTTCTGACTTGTGACTGACTTATTTTTACAAATGGCATCTCCCCTCTTTCAGTCTTCAAAGTATGGAATCCTTTCCTTTTCCTCTTTACATCAAGTTTGTCTTAAGATCTGTCAACTCTATACCCTCAGGCTCCCTAGGTGCCACCTCCTCTTTTCATTCTCTTTGCAATTTAGATTTTAGCCTTCCATCACATCATGCCCAAACATACCCTCTCTCAACATTCTTTTCTTTCTTTAAAAAATATTTTTTAAAGTTGTAGGTGTACACAATACCTTTATTTTATTTATTTTTTTATGTGGTGATGAGGATCAAATCCAGTGCCTCACACACGCTAGGCAAGCACTCTACCACTGAGCAACAACCCCAACCCTCAACATTCCTTTTTAGTCAGATTTACTACGAGGTTATTTATGTTTACTGCCTCTATGGCCTCAAAACTGACAAAATCCCCTAGAATCTGGCTTCTGCCACCATAATTCACTGAATCTGCTTCCCTGAAGACTACTGATAATCTCCTGATTTCTAAATCCAGTGCTTTTTTCTATGCTACTTCTTGGTAGTCCTTGACACCATTGGCCACCATTCCTTGTTCTTCTATATTTCAATTTCTTCAATGAAATCATACCTCCCCTTGCTTCCTGATTGCTTCTTTCTACCTCTTTTTCCTCCCTCTGCCTCCTACCTACTTCCCTAATCCTCTGTTTTCTTCCCTCTATACACCTCTCCTATGGTAATTTCATCCATTCATAAAGCTCCAACTAGCATCTTTTAAATTTTTTTTTAGTTGTAGATGCACACAAAACCTTTACTTTATTATTTTTTATGTGGTGCTGACGATTGAACCCAGTTCCTCACATGTGCCAGCCTAGTGCTCTACCACTGAGCCATAACTCTAACCCTCCAATGAACATCTTAAATAATTAGTTCCCAAATATATATCTCTGGGTGTAAACTCTCCCTGTCTTCAGTCTTCTATTTCTACATTTCCAAAGTTATCTTCGTTATCTTCCCAGTTTTTCAGACTACAATTCTTAAAGTCATCCTTCTTTTTTCTTGTTTGCACCCCATTTTCAATCACTCATTGGTTCTCTTTGTACCTAATCTTCAATCTGTGCCCCATTCACTATTCCCTGTGCCCATTGTCATAATTCTCAGACCCTCTTGCCTTTCCCACAACCCATGGTCTCCACATTGTTCTCCTTTCTCCTTTCCAGATCACCTTGTATATTACCACAAGGTTGCCCTTCCTAAACTATAGCTCTGGTCATATTCTCACCCTGTCAAAATTTAACAAATTTTAACCAAACTAAACAACTTCTAAGTATTCTTCGTTTTGCTTATATCATTTTTCACTGCCTAAAGGTCTTTCCCTAACATTGCCACAGGTCCGAGTCCCACACATCTTGTAAGGCCAAACTCTCTCCCTTCTAAGTATGTCTTCTCCAATCTTCCCACCTGGAAAACAACAAGTTTCTTCTTCTTTTAAGTTTACTTATAAAACTACTTCATCTCCCCTATGGACATGTAAGCTTGCTGAAGGCAGAAGCTATGTAAGCCATGTACAGGTACCTCAGTATTCCCTATGACTTTGCTTAACCTGTACCTATTGAAAGCAGTGGTTGCTTGATATGGTGGTATGGTAGTCCCAGTTACTTGGGAGGCTGAGTCTGGAGGATCACTTGAGCTAGGAGTGTGAGGTCAGCCTGGGTAACATAGTGAGACACCCAACTCAAAACAAACATGTAAATAAACAAAAGACCAGAGGTTATATGGTTTTAAAACAGAAATTTTAGGGCTTCTACCATAGATCTATAAATCTGAGTGAGGAAACTGGAAGTATGCATTTCAAAATATGTTTTCTAGGTAAATCTGTATACAAAGGAGTTTGAGAACTGCTGGTATGGAGTTTGACCCAGTGCCCTGATAAAGTAGACATCCAATAAATTCTTGGTACCTAAATATACTATTACATTAGCCTCCTAGCTGGCCTACAGTATATGTGACCTCTGTTATGCTGTATCCTATTTGCCAGATTAATTGTCCTGTGGCAATGAAACCCTTCTTAGAAACTTTCAATGATTTCATTTTAAAGAGAGAGAGAGAGAGAGAGAGAGAGAGAGAGAGAATTTTAATATTTTATTTTTTTTTAGTTTTCGGCAGACACAACATCTCTGTTTGTATGTGGTGCTGAGGATCGAACCCGGGCCGCCCGCATGCCAAGCGATCGTGCTACAGCTTGAGCCACATCCCCAGCTTGATTTCATTTTGTTTACAGAATAAAGTCCAAACTCCTTAGCAAGGCTAGTACAGAACCTGCCTCACACCTACCTGATCATCTCATTACACTTGAACTTCGCTACTCAGAGTAAAGTTCTTGGATCCAGC